TATTTATGTTAGAATAGTATTTTATATTTTTATAATGTTAAGCTATTATTTTCCAGTTTTTTACTGCATAAATAATGTCTTTATTATTTATTAATCACTTTTTATAAATTATGTTTTAATAAATTTTGTATATTTAATTTTATATCCCAATGAAGGGCTAATTTTCGGACCAAACAAAATCAAATCACTGGCCCAGAGGACCCAAATCCTTAGTCTAACTGACTTTGGCCAAACTAAACGACCCTTCTCCTAAACCTGGCCGGGACCCGTTAAAATGACCCGCTCCGCTTTCTTTTAAATCCTGGACGTTGATCTCTCAAGGTCAACAACCCATAATCACCCCTTCGCTTATAATTAACCAAACCCACCTGAAACCCTACTCTAAGACCGCCACCCCAAATCCTCTTTTCTCCTCTTCTGTCAAAATTTAGCCGCAACCCCAAAATTTCCTCCGAATCCGATCAACTCATGGATTCTTGCCATGATTTACTCACTTTTTATGGATTATCTCGTTGTTTCTTACAAGTCTATGGTATTGCATAGTACTTGCCCCATTTTTGGCAAGTACCAATCTTCCGAATCAAGGGAAATCGGACTCACTGATGATTTTTCGTCTATATACATTCATGGCAAGATTATATGGGTCTGTTTTACCTAGATTCTTCGGCCAAGCTGAGATTCTGGGCAAAACTAGGGTTTGCCTGTTTTTCTCCTAATTTGGTTCTAAATCAATTTTTCACGCTCTTCTTCCCTTGTTTACGTTTGTTTGATTATATTTCCTTGTTTGTTCATTCAATTTTTACTGCTATATAAACCCCCTTCCCCTTCCAAGTCTTAACGACTATTACTTGACTACTGTTACTATTACTATTACTCTCTCACTCTCACTCATTCTACTATTCTAAAACTTGAGACCTTGGCAGGCTAAAAGCCAAGGCCGCCGAAATTCGATTATTGCTCATTTCTCAGTGTGAGCACTGCCCGATGTTTACTTGAAACCCTTGAAAATTCTGACGCACTGAGATTCTAGGAGTCCTGATGTTCTCTCCTCACTACTGCTAATTGAGTTGCTGCTGGAACATTATTTTATCATTCTCTTGTTCGTTAATTTGCAACTGGTGAGTACCTTGACTCTTGCAATTCTATTCTCTTTACTTGTGGTCATGCACTGAAAATCCATGTTGTTCGAACTTTGTGAACCAATATGATTTCAATATAGTGTTATTTTTATTTTTATTTTTGCAATCCAATCCACCGTGAAGTTAGTCTATGGTCCTCTATTTTTTAGCACTTAAACTTGCCTAAATCTTAAACTTGGACATCTACTCATTATGTGTAACTTCTGACCATCTTGAACTTGCTTGGCCTACTATGTTTATTTATGCATGAGTCTCCTATGTTTGTTACTTGACCATATTCATGCCTTGCTTTGGATTCATGTGTTAAAACTCCTAGGACACTAATCCAAGCCCAGAAATTGTCTGAGTGTACTTCTCCACACTAAGTCATTCATGCACAAATTACTACTTGCTCACTTTCTTAAAATGATCACGTCTATGTGAATTCTTAGCTCTTCAGACAAGCATGTTTATCTACCATATTGTTATATAGACCCAATGCTTATTAGTGCTAGGTTTGCTCTAGTTTAATACTTAAGAAAATCTTTGATATGTATAATCGAACATGTTATATGCGATCAACTTGCATTCTCATAATCAAGTACTTGTTTGATGATTAGTTGTCGTACTGAGTTTGTGATACTGTAGACCTTGAATTTTTCTAATAAACTTTCTTATTAGCACTTCTGCTTGCCATGAACTGACCTGCCATTCTTAGCTAAGTTTTGCCTTGCACCCTTATGCTGAGGTCTTCTTGTGAAGACTAATGTTGGTATCTGCCTCTCAAGCATGTCATTGCTACTTGTTAATCTCCTTCGAATCAAATCATGACCCTGCCTGATTTGAACTCTCATGCTTGGTCTCTTTGCTTTATAAATTATTGTTTTGCTAGACTCATGTAGTTAACCATGTGTATCCTAAGAAGCTTGTCACTTTGAACTTGTTTGCTAATCTGAAAGCCCCTTGATGGTAGGCTATAATTATGTATTTTAGTCGCTTATTGCACTCTAATTTAGTGCACTTTAATTGAGTTTGAGCTTTATTCACTAGTGTTTTACACTAATTGTGTATTTTATGCCTTGTACGAGTGATTATGAGCTTTGTAGATATTATGGAATGAATTTAAGTTATTCTGGAGCTTTGAAGTATGAATAAAAGCCCAAGGATATAGTTGGGATCGTGTTCGGAGATCAACGGACAATAATGCACTTAACGATAGAAACGAAGAATTGAGCAGGAGGCCACCCACGTGTGCGATCGCGCACTGGGCGCGCAAGTAGAGCAGTACACTGATCAAGGTGCGCGACCAGTGTGCGAACGCGCACGTCCAACTCCGGAAACTCCTCCCAGGCCTATTTTTGTAATTTAGGAGATGACTCTTTTGGATCTATATGAAGCCTAAGTTGCCTAAAAATAGTGCATCTGAACCTTTAGGGGAGAAATTTGGATCTAGAGTGGCAAAATAGGAATTGGAAGAACACAAGCACAAGGAGTCCATTATTCCTTCCTCGCTCAAGATACGGGTTTGGATTGAATTTATATTTTTTTATACTTTAGTTCCAATTGTGAAGAACTTCTCCATGTCTATGAAGTAGATCCTTTTGGTTTTTGACTAGATTTTGTGTATTGATGATTGTTTGTGGATCATAACTCTATTTTTATGTATTTGAATCATTTTTGGAAGATTTAATTGATGCATCTATATTCACCTGTTCTTGTAATCGAAAGAGGCATAACTTATGTTATCTTTACATTATATTATTGGTTAAGTTTATAGATTATTCTAAGTAATCGAAAGAGGCTGGTTGAATCATTGATTAAACCTAGTTAGGAAAATAATCGAAAGAGGTTTTCCCAAAGAACGATCCACTACGCATTCTTGCATATCTTCACAGTGCTTGAACAGGTTCATCTCGTGAGGTTAAGACTTAATCGAGGGAGGAGTTCTTGCTGAACGTTTGAACTAATAATAAAGTGAATTAGAGAGATTCACTTGGTCGTTGAAAGTGAATTATCTAGAGTTAGATCCCGAATAATTATCTTGCATCTATCTTGTTAATACCCTATTTTATCCCACTGATAACCTTAGTTGTTTATTCTTTGTTTCGATAGTCACTAGTCAATAACTCTAGATTCTTAATTAATTTCAATCCTTAGGCATATAAATCTCAATTGTTGATCCTCCTAGATAATAATCAAGTTGGAAGCTACGGGAATACTTTTTAAATCCAATCCCTGCGGATACGATAATACACTATACTATATTTGACTAGCAGTACAATTTAAGTGTGTGTATTGCACTCGTCAAATTTTAGCGTCGTTGTCGGGGATTGATAATCAATAGTGTTTGAAATAGTTTGTAGTGTTAATTCAGAAATTTAATTTAATTTTTTTACTTTTACTTTTAATTCTTTCTTCACGGGTTTCTTACTTATGTGCAGGATACAAGTTGATTTCTCTTGTGTATGACGCGATCCTCTTCAAGGGAATTGATACCCTACAAATCAGAGTTGGAAAGACGCATGCGACAACTGAGAAAAGAAAGAGACTTAACAGGAGAATCCTTGGTTCAACCTTTGAATCAAGATAACATGGCTTATATCTCGTGTAGACAAGATTAATTCATGACAGGGAAAAAAATTAACTTTAAATTTGTTTGACCGTGAGGTCCGAGAGTCCATACCAATAGAAAAGTGTAAATTGTGTTCGAACACTTTTTAACTTAGGAAAAATTCATTTATTATGAGATAAATTTTATTTTTTAATGAGTAGTTTGAATATAAGTTCTTTATAAATAGTTCAGAAAGAAAATAATTGTGAGTTGGATTGACATCATTAATTTTGAATTTTCTCTAGTGAACATGAGCTTAAATTTAAAATCGGATTTTTAGCTTGGATTTTCTTATAGCTTGTTTGGATAGTTGTTATGGATCGTTTCATAATGTATCGTATAGTATAATATTGTATTGTATTGTATTGTACTGTATCGTTTTGATATATACAATGTTTGGATAGATTTTATTGTTTGTCGTCGTTTCATGATGTCATGCACCAATAATCTGAAGAAAAAACATGCAATTTTATAAAGAAAATGCAAGGTATAAGGTAGAATTATTATATAAAAAAGTAGGGTAAATGATAAAATATGATTATTTAATAATAGGAAAGGGCAAGATGAGAAGAAAAAATAAAAGGTAACGATTCGACCACACCAAATCAGTCGTTCCATAAAGTGACACATTTCGTCGTTACGTAACGACGAATTTAACGATACGACACAATAAATTTAAGTAATAAAAATAAATATTATATTTAAAGTAACAATCATTTTATTAGATAAATTTTAAGTGGGGAAAAGAAGACAGTTATGAAGATACTTATTTTGGATGGATCGGAATAATAGGTAGCACGAACCAAATGAGTTCTGTCTATTGGAATGGATGAAAAAATTGGAATAAACAAACATAATATAAGGAACAAAATAAACAAAGAAATGAGATAATATCAAATTATGTTTCTTCGAGTGAGATCAAAGAGTCTATCCCAAATGTGATTTACGTAATTTATTTCAAACCTTTTTATTTATTTCAAATGCTCTTTTTGAATCTCTCTTAATAACCTAAATGGTGAATTAAATTAGTGTATGATTTAATTCAAATATAGATTGAGTCGTTCACTAATTATTTCGCAAAATGCAAACATATTCACCAATTTTGATACAAATAACTTTGAAATTACTTAAAATAAAAAAAATCAATAAATATAAAATAAATAATAAGTATAGCAAATTTTATCCGAAATTATTATCCTTTCCCTTCACCGAACCACGTGAGTGTCAACGGGCTTTTTCAATGCGCATTGACCCGTCTATTTGAGTAATAAAATTCATACTGTTCATCCTTCAGACGCTAATCAAAAATTACCAAGAGAAAACACAGACGACAAAACCCTAAACACAGAGAGATGCCGAAGCCAAAACGGTTGGTATGGAGAATCAAGCAGAAAAATCAGAAAGCGTCAACCTCTTCCTCCAAACCACCACCACCGCCATCGCCGCCGTGGGTGGAACTCCCTCGAGAAATCACGGCCGACATCCTTCACCGGTTGGGAGCGATTGAGATATTGCAAAATGCACAGAGAGTTTTTAGTACGTGGTGGAAGGTGTGCCATGACCCTATCATGTGGCGGGACATTGACATGGGAAGCGACATTGATGTGGACATAGGTGATGATGTCTTGGACGAGTTGTGTCGCGTCGCTGTGAATCGCAGCCAGGGTCAGTTGCACAAAATTAACATCGAGCATTTTGGCAATGACTATTTGCTCAAATATATAGCGGAGAGGTATGAATTGGAACTGAAAATTTACTCTTTCCAGTATTTAAAATTTATTTAATACCTTTTGCAAGCATTTTGGCATATAGTAGGAGTATTGAAATGTGTAGGAGTTGGTAGAGACACGGTTGTAATTTGTTTTTAAAAAAAAATCAAAATTTTATTTTGAAACAGGACAAAATTCGCTCATAAACCTATTAATCAACTTGAATCTCAACACACCCAATTATCTATTGTTTTCATATAAACCACATTAAGTAAAATTTACAACTTCACGATAATGTTGCTGCACTAACATGCTTATTGATGGAAGATGTCGAGTCTTCAAAAGGATCTGGCTTTTAATTTTTTTTGAGATTTATGTGGGAAAATATCTTTTTCATGCCAAATTTAGTTATGTGCTTCTGTTTGGAGTTGGTGAATAATAAGACTTAAGATGTGATAGAAGTTGGTTCACATGTTTTTTTTTTTTTTTTGATGAAGTAGATAATTTCATTAAATGACATCAAGAAGATGCATAGCAAAAATATACAGCAAAAGTGTGTCTGCTCATATACAAAAACTTACTGAATAACTAAGGAGCATACACAATCCAAAAAAGATTCAAAGCAAGTTACAGGGGCCTGGTCGAACCAAGTAAATAGATTGATTAGACAAGTTGCTTTAAGAGAGCGATTAGGAGTTGAAATCCCATCAAAACATCTGCGATTTCTCTCTTTCCAGATGCACCAAAAAATAGTAGAAGGCACCATTTGCCAATTTTTTTTGTTGGAATTCCCAACTCTCAATGAGAACCAACTCTCATAAGCATCCTTGATACTGTAAGGCATGACCCAGGTACAAAAACTTCACATGTTGTTTCTGTCTCAGCTTTTGAGTATAAAGTGCTCAATCTTAGAAACATCTCTCTCTTTTTTTTAATTGTTGCACAATTGACTTTTGACTTGCTGAAATACGTAGATTTCTTTGAAATATAATCGTCTTTTATTGTGGATGTGCTAAATTTTGTGCATATAAAGAGCACCCTTTGTCGCTGCAGCACTATGGGGAACGAGCCACATTAATTCTTCAAACATGTTTATAATCTTCTGTAACTCTGTTGTGACATAATATGACTTCTGTACTGCTAAATGGTCAGGCTTTGGCTAAAATGTATCTTTCGCCTGCCTTTTGGGCATTACCATGCTGAATCATCTATTTTTATATGACATCGCTTCTGGCACCATGAGACACCAGATATATCTTTTTTATAAAAAATAAATAAAGCAAGGGTGGGAAAAACTGCATGTTAGGGGATATATTATGTGTAATTTCCATGGAAAATTCAATGAGTAAGCAAATATTGTCTAGATCAGTTGACCTAGCAAAAATTTAACATAAGATGTACTATGTGTGTGCTAAGTTCATGGATGATGGATGTCACTTGCGGGAAACTCCTTGCCGAGGGCCTGTGCACCCCCGGGATTAGTCGGGTCTCAAACTCTCAAAGAGACTTGGACACCCGGTGCAAATCAAAAAGTTCATGGATGACATGATTCATGGAAAATTTCAGATACCATTGAATATGCATTAGGGATATATTATGTTTAATTTACATGGAAAATTCAATGTAAGCAAATGTTGTCTAGATTAGTTGACCTGGTAAAAATCTAACATAAGTTGTACTATGTGTATACTAAGTTCATGTCTTTTGATCTAATCTTGTGCGCTTCTGAACAGATCAAGTCAGCTAAGGCATCTAAGACTTGTCACCCGTGATGAAATTTCAGATGGAGGTTTGGCTGCAGTTGCCAAGAACTTCCCGTTGTTGGAGGAGTTGCACATTTACTTAGCTGTTATTAGTAAAGCTGATATAGAGGCTATCGGTTGTTCTTGCTTGCAGCTTAAGTCATTTACATTGAACAACATTGGATTCAGAGGATTTAGAAGTTCATATTATTATGTCAATGATGAAGCTCTGGCTATTGCTGGAAATATGCCTGAATTGCGACACCTTGCACTTTTTGGGAATGACTTGACAAATGAAGGCCTGTGTGCCATTCTTGATGGCTGCCCGCAGCTCGAATCACTTGACTTACGCCACTGTTATAGTATTGATCTTGAAGGGGATTTAGGAAAGAGATGTCGCCAACAGATTAAGAATCTTAAGCGCCCTCGTGATTCCACGTCTGGTTATGAATTTAGAGCTCAGATTTGTGATTATAGTTCTTCCAATGATGAATACAAATCTGGGTTGTCTGAAGCTGACCTCTCGGACTATATCTATGATTATGAGTATGATGACTTTGATTACGACGACTTCACTAACCCATTTAGCAGCGAGTATCTTGATGAGGATGGTTTCTTTTACTTTGCTACTTGAAATTTGTTAATGGTAAGAACATAGTTCTATTTAATGCTTTTTTTTTTATTACTAGCATTGTTTCACCCTTCTTTCCTTCTCGTCCCCAGGAAAGGTGGGGGAGAGGGGTAAGCCTCAGCTAAAAACAATGTGTCAGGCCCCTGATGGTGCAGTTCAGCAAGAGGGCGTGCTCAGATCCACCTGGTCTTGTGGAAATCTTTGGGAGGAACGACAAAATTAGCTATTTGCTTGAAAATCAACAGTTCCATTGTTGTATTGCAAGTTATTGTTTGCTGGGTAAACCTCGATTCAATTGTTCAGCAGGTTCTAGGTCGCTCTTTGAATTGCCATTCGTGTCATATTTTGCTGTTCTAATAGCAGTTGAAGTGTTCAGGTTTGCACATTGTTGGCAGCAGATTCTAATCGTAGTTATTAAGGAAGGCCTTAATCCTCTAACCTTAGCACTTGGCTGCCCTTAGAACTACCAGATAACTACTGTGTTCTCTCCTTTTTTTTATTTGGTTCATAACCCCTTCACATTGGTAGATTTCTTAGTCTTTTGTTTGAATATATATAAAAGCCACTTCAAATTATATTCCGTGTAATTTCTTTTTGTTTTTGTTTTTTATCAACTCGCAGATACTTGTTAGAGCCACAATATGGGCTTGGCCCAGCCCAACCCATGATTTAATAGGGTTGGGCTAAGTTTTTTGGAGCCCATTTAAAATGAAACTTTTAAGCCCGCCCCAAGTAAGCTTGTGGCACATGAAGCTGTGCCGGCCTGACTCAGCTTGTGGGCTCAATAACGTATTTAATTATAAATATAAAAAAATATAAGGACCTAAAAACAACAAGAAGAGTAGTCAAATCTCAAACTAGTAATACTTTTTATGTAAATATAAGTATTTTTGTTCTTTAAATTTTAGCCCCTTTTTAATATTTAACTAATTAACATTGCATAAAATTACAGAATTTAGATAAAAATAAAAAAGTTAAGATATCTTGGTGAAGATGATTTATTAGTGTTGGATATGCCATGAGTACGTTGAAAATATTTTTGAGTAGTTTATTTTAAGTATTGATTTTTAATGAATGAAATATTGTCCTCCTTCTTTGTTTTTCATAGTAATCTTTTGGAACATTGTCAAAAGTTATTAAGTTTTGCAGAACTTTATAAAAATGGTGGGCAGACCCTTGGGGGCCTTGACCTACATAAGGCTGACCATTTTAAAGCCACTGGCCTAACCCAACCCGTCAAATGCTAAAGCCCACATGGGCTAGACTGGGATGGACTAGGCCAACCCATATTGACATTTCTAATACTTGTCCACCTTAACAACAACAACTAACGTGCTTACAAGGATTTTGAATTATATATATTCAAACTAAGAGTTCAACAAATGAGTGGAAGGCATATTGGTCGAGCAAAAATATCAAAAGTGCCTCTACTAAGCCAAAGTTGGGGGCTCATTCTCAAGTAAAGGAGTGGTTTGTTGCATATGAAGATTATTGGAGAAACACTATCTCCTTCGTAAGGGAATTGTCATGGTGCCTCTAACCTCATAATCCCAGCCATTTGTTTTCACTTTGTTCGTCTAACGAACACGATCTACTTATAGTTCGTCTATCTTCACCTTACTCTTAGATCTCTTCAAGCTCCACATAATCGATTGGTGATTATCAACAAATTATGCTTTCCTTTTTCATCCACAATCTCAATATCTGCAACACATTGATCATATCATATCACCGTCAATATTCTTTCTTTTGGACCATATTTGTTTTCTTCCAATTCAGATTCATTTGAGTTACCAAGAATCAAGTGTGATTGACCATAGTCGACGCATCAAAAGTTGTGCGGCTTATGGGCTTGCTTTTACTCACTAGTGATAGAGACATTTAAAGCACTTAATCATATTGCTTTCACTCACTAGTTAAATAAACTTTTAAAGCACTTAATCATGATCCTAAGATCTTTAAATATAGCGAGAAGGGTATATGTCTTCGTTCAAAGGTTTTCTGATAGACTTAGACTAAGAATGATCTTAATAGAGATGATATCCCCTCGTTTTCTTTAGTCAATGCATGTCGTAAAAGTGAACAATATAGGAAAATTTTTACTTTGTGTTTACCCTAAAAATCAGATAACAATTGAATTTATACGCGGTTTTAAAGATACATGATATAACTTGATACAAATTAAGGAAACAGATTGTAATTGAAATTGACGATAAAAGAATAAATGCAAATCGAATAGCCTTGACCTTCGAGTTCGATCACCCTTGAACCAAACGATGTCTCAACTGATGTATGAACAGAATAACAAGATGATAAAAATTAGAAAATGACAGTATATTGCTTTATGTTGCGTAATGTGATTTGTGTTACAAATGATCAGACCTTCTTTATATACTAGGGGAATCCTACTCTTTATACAATTCTATACAAGGTAAAAATTCTCATGATTTGCTAATCAAACGGCCTATCCTTGATACGTGTCGAGATTTTTGTCGTGATCTACAACTGATCGCGGATATTTCGTCCTTTTGTTATTCGGCTCGGCAAATTTTCCCCGATCTCGTCTGATCTCGATTTTGTTCGATGACATGGTCTCGAGCTTAACGATATAACTTCGCACCTCGGTTCGATATAAATCGAGGTCGAACTTTAACCTACCATATTTCAGTCTCGATTAGTCACACAAGAGGCGAACTCGGTTTTGACCGTATACAGATAGTCCCCTCGTTTCTCGGAGAGAAAATGACAAGAAACGATATGAACTTCTGAATCCCCTCTCGATGGGCCATGCCGTAAGCGGCAAACAGATACCGAAACATCCCGTTGGTCCAGTTACCAAGGCATTAAATGACTGCCAGATGCTGGTAAGCCACTACGGGTTTTGAACCGTCATTAGCAAGCTATAAATACCCTAACTTTCATTTATTCAAACTTTACGTTCAAAGCTCCTCATATTCTTATTCTTCAAAAATCCCTTTGCTCTCCAACTCTTGCACCCAAATTTCTTGAACTTTTAGCAAACCGCTAAACATACCTTCCTAATTTCCTTTTATTCTGTTCTACAATGGCAAAAACTTCTAAGATTGTCCCGCAAAATGAGGCAGCCTCTTCATCACGACCCACCGGCGACGGGGTTGCAGCGGAACCACACCATCAGGAGTTTGTTCATGCAGGGTGCCCGACTGTTACCGATTTTAAGATTGAAAAAACTTTCTCGGTACTGGGTCGATGCGAGCCGGTCTCGAGGTACATATGTATGATCACCGATGATCTCCTTACCAAGGTTAAAGAAGATTGTAACTAGGCCAATAAACATGTGGTGGTGCCTTCACCCGAGGAGTCAATCATTACCCATGTGGAGGTTTTTTTAAATTGTTTTGTCACGCCCCAACCTCGGAGAGCGCGACCGGCGCTCAACCGAGTGAACTCGGTCGAGCAAGCCTATTAGACCTTCCCTACCCGACTCATTCATGATCCGAAAAGAGGACGCGTTATCATCTGCTAAATAGGGGAGAGATCAGATATACATGCATAAACGTTGTTAGTCCATTTTTCATTATATATATTATGCCATAGTTAAGTTTTCAAAATACAACTTAGTCTAGTGACCACTCCGATACCCATACACGACCCACATAAACGCCTACGGAACCTCTAATGATACAAAAGACCAACATGACAATGCCGACAACAAGTCCCCGGCTATACCTCAAAATATGAAAACTTATACAAAAGAAGAACTACATGACCCCAGGAGGAAATTGGGCTCACCAAGACTGTTGTGATGAGTGTGAGGGAGAGCACCACTATCTGCGATCAACGCTATCTGCGATGGAACCACCTACATCCATTCAAAGATGTAACGCTGCCGGCAAAAGGGACGTTAGTAATGTCGAATAGTACTAGTATGTAAGGCAAACACCAATCTTAGTAGAATGAACAGTGAAACAGAGAGAAGGCAGTCATAATAATCAATAAGTGCTTCACAGAAATACACAGAAAAACCAAGTAAGGATCACATAGTTTTCGATTCAATCTTTACATCTTTTTAGGTTAATAATCTTTAGTGCCAAATGCCACAACCCACAATGCCACAGTATTTTTATACGGAGTCCGGTCTCGGCCCGACCGACTAAGCCATCTCAAGTGAGACATATCCATATCCACAATGTAAATCAATAATTCCAACACAAATGCCGCCATGTGTACAGCATGGCGTCCGATCTCGGCCCGATCGGCTAAGCCATCTTACTTGAGACATAACCTCTTTCAATTGTTCACTCTATTCACATTTATTTCCCATCTTCATTACATGGCGCAAACAACCTCATTTATTAAGTAGTTCTTGGCACTTGGGCACATTTTACAATTCAAGTCTTTCCCTTTTTATTCATTCAAGTAACATCATCATTCATGTCGATAAGTACCATCACACAAGGCATTGCACGCATAAGGGAAGGAGCTTGAAAATCATAATTACGTTCTCAAATAGCATGATGACACGGTGAACATCTAGAACAATTGGGGAGCATGAATCTTTCAATCCAACACACTAAGGCAAACAATTCTAATATGATCAAGTCAGAACTTACACCAATTATTCGGACGCCAGGATTTCGATTCTAAGAAGAAGATAGTTAGCCATATATACCTCAATTGCGCTTCTTTAGACTCTACAATTATCCGGAACCCTTATCAACCTCAATCTATTTTAGCCATATACAAATTGAACCGCAAATTAGGAAAACGTTCATGGTTCTAGCTCACTTTTCCCCCACACTTTTTATCACACATGCATGCAAGATAAACCACCATCATTCCCATGAAGTATCACCCTAGTACCCCACTATAGCTATGTTTGAAATTAAGAGCTGGGGTGATGAAGTTTTACCTTTTAGGATGAAGAATTTGGTGCTCTACTTGAATATTTCCAAAGCTGTGATGATGGTTGAAGTTCGATTTGATGAAAAATTAGGCCCTCCCTCTAGAACCCTCTCTCTCACTCTAGAAATATCAGAAATGAGCTTCAAAATAGACTAAAGGGGTGTTTTAACGGAATGGGGGTCGTATTTTAAATTAAGAAAAAGGGTGCCCCGACACAGGTATGCGGTCGCATATACGACCGCATAATGGTTATGCGGTCCGCAAAGTGACCGCAGAAATGTCCCTTAGGGGTCTAAACTTTCGGCCCAGATATGCGACCAGTACGCGGTCCACATACTTGTTCTGCGGTCGCATAATGCACCGCAGAACTCCCTCCACAGAAACCCAATAAGAATTATGCGACTAATATGCGGTCCGTATAGTGATTATGATGTCGCATAATCGAACGCAAAACTAACCTCAAATTGGCCAAACTTTCTGCTTCACTCTGCGACCATTTTGCGATCCGCATAGTGATTATGCGGCCGCATAATGGGCCGGATGAACGCTTTCTTCTGCTAAACATTTTCCTCTAAGTTCGTAGGGTACTGTTCAATCCAAAAAGTCCGAACATTTCTACTATAATAACGCAAGAATCTATCTTGGCACCACGAAACCCCGAGTTTTTGGTTAAAATTTGCACGGGGCCTTA